AAGGTAGCATAAGCAAATAAGAAATTACCTTTAAAAGCTGAAAACCTTTTCCAAAAACTTTATTAAAAAAAATTAAAATTATCGAGGTACTCCTCCCTCAACAGAGTCTTTTTGTTTTAAGCTGCCTATGTGGAAATCACTGGAGAAGTTAGTCAGCCATATCTGCAAGTCTCTCTCTAACATTTTGGAGAAAGAATACTGGCTAGAACATTTTAAAACCATTATGCTACTAAGCAGGGAAGAAAATAAAACATTAGCATGCGATATTTAGGATCAGCCTAGAATACTTTTCATTTGGTTCACTTCAGCATCTGCCTTCTTTGTCCCTACTTTTGTAGGCATTTACACTATTTAGGAAGTTGGCTCAGAGGTATATCTGCAGTATCCAAGTTTCTATTGCAGGCTTTTGGGGACAGCTGCTTTCTCCCTATGTGCTTTTGTGGCACCAGGCATCTTGTACAACTGAGCATCTGTACAACTGGAAGTACTCAGAAGTAGGACATGGCAGATTCGGTATATTAGATCTCAAGTCCATAAACATCACAATATTTGAAACAAAAAAGCCTCAAGTTACTTAAAGCGTCTTCCAAACTGTATCACCATCTGTGGGAAGGAGTCAATATTTGAGACTAGTTCAGTTCCTACACTTAAAACAGCATAGGGTAAAAGCTTTACATAGATACGCTTACATATTTCTGCATCACACCCAAAAAAATCAGTCATGGGTGTCACAAACGCTTACAAGTGCATAAAACGCTTGTGTGATAATATGACATTGGAAGCTTTGGGTAAATTCATCCATGTCAACAAACGTAAAGAAATGCATGCAGACACCGTAGAAAATTTAACTGGAAATACAACAGCAGATGAAATTCACCCTGGCTCTCACTATTATGAGATCTTTCCACTCTTGTCAGCTTTTACTTTCAGTAACCTGGAAAAGCACTTGGTGTTAGCAGCAAACTGCCACCTTACAATACACCGATTTTCTAGATCATTTTGAACCTACTGAACAGTAGGCACTTGTTGACCTACGCTTTCCTTCATTGTGAGGAACAATTTATCCTCTCAACCAGTTAACCCATGACAAGACCTTCACTTCTACCTAACAGCCTTTGGCAAGAAATGCTTAAAAAGTTTTTGAGAAGCACAGTGTCACCTAAACCTAACCCATTTACACAATTTCCACGTCCTTCACAGAACTGATTTGTGAGCAGAATTTTCCTCTAAAAAAGCCAGGATGTGGATGAGTCAATATACCATATTTACAAATACGCACTACAGAAGCTACCAATTCATGCAATAACACTCTGAAGGGAGATCCTGTATCTCTTCTCACGTGTCTAGGAAATACTGAAACAAGGTACAGAGATACTAGTGATATACAAAATATGCCAACTATCACAATTCTTTACTCTCATTTATCAAATCTCCAGAGGCATCAACATCCTTCAGCATTTTGATCCCATTTAAAAATCCACATAACTATCAATTTGCACCAAGCAAAGTCTTTCCTACAGTTCACTTAAACTGTCCTCCTGTACTGAATTTCACTAAATTAGCCTTCTAAAGAGAAAGTTGCTGCTTGGAAACTAGAAATATTAGACACCAAAACATACACATTAAGTTTCTCTATTAATTGACACTGGCCTAGGATCAAAATACCCAAGGAATGACAAGGCTTGTTTTTTCAAAGCTATTTATTCCCAAATCCTGAAAAGGTCTACTGATCTACAACCACTAATAAACCCTGGAGACAACAGCATTTGTCAGAACATTCCACTTGGTTCAGAGTAAAAACCCTTAAAGGCTCTTAGACTTCACATGTCTTGGCTGTGCTTCATGCCAACTGATTCATAGAGCTGTTGCATACTCGAGCGCTCCACAGAGGAGACAGAAGTTGTGGGTACAGTTGAGAGGTCATGAGCTGCTCCATGGTGCATCTCCTTGGAAGGATGCAGGCTTGGAGGAGGATGATTTGACAGGGACTGCAGGAGCCTTGCCGGATCCGTACGCTGAAGGGATGGTGGGGAAGTTCTAATTCAGGTCAGTTTGTCCATCAGCAGCTGTGGTAGGTACGCTGGAGGTTCAGCCCAACACTGCAAGCAGGTCCTCTAGACCTCCTTTTTAAGACTGTAAGTGATCGGCTACACCAGCAGTGCTGTGAGCATTTTTTCCTGATGTAAAAAGGGCTATGGAAAATTAGCTTTGGTAGTCTAACTGTTAAAAATCACAAATTCAACTTCAGGTGACAAAGAGACATTTCACCAGCTCACTGGCAAATTTTGAAAAACAGCAGCAACAGAGTTTATTAAGACGGTCACATCACCTTTTCATAACGCATTGCAACAGAAGCTACCAGTACCTTTACCCAAAAGCATTACCGTGTGTTACCCCTACGATAACACTGGATAAGATGCAACTTTTATCATATTCTGCTCTTGTCCAAGCTTAATTATTGAGTGGCTAATTTAACCACTGTCACTGATTAATTAGAACAAAAGAGCTAGAAGCAGAACAAGCACAATACAACACAAAAACAAGACTGAGTTCTACTGGAATCTACTCTGAGTATTTTTTAAAATTCCATGTCGACAGACATTCCCTTTTTGCAAATTATTTGTGAGCAGTTGATGTCCCTATTAGAGAAACATCTGAAGTCTGTTTTTTAATTTACTTCTCAACATTTGAGATTGACCTTTTCATTTCTAAATCAGGTTTTATCCAGATCTTTTTAGGGAAAAAAAAAAAACACCACACTGCTGCTTTGCAAGTACAGCAGCCGCCAGTTCATTGTATCTCGCTAAGTCACCAAAACCCTGGACTATACCTTGGCAGGCCTTCTTCTGAACCTCACTGCAGACTATATACACGCAGAGAGTCCTTCTAGAAGTCCATTTCTAAAGCCACACACAATTCTTCGCACTTTTCTCTATTAAGCACATCTCTTCTTCAAAATTCCCCATACGTTCAACTCGTCCTCCATTTTTTTTTTTTTAAATTCCCCTATCCTGCTTCCTCTCAGCCCAAGACCCTTCCCATCTTCCATCTGAATTTCCTGACCTTCCACTGCACTCTGATTTTTTTTCCCTCCAAAATCCCTTTATAGCCACTTTATTGTATCAACTCATCTCTTCTACTGTCTCTCCTACGCAGCCGTCCTTTGCATATCCCTTCTTTTTCCCATCCCAGCGTTACCCTGCCAGAGTCAGGCATGAGGAACTTAAAGAGAAAACATACGCTGCTCCTGGCACTGCTGATGCCTTGCATCCCAGCCAGGCCTCCCAAGCTCTACAGAAGCTCAACTGGATGAAGCAGGATCCCAGCAAGAAAGGAAATTAATCCCCTAAATACCGGAACTACCCACACTGGTTTGTGCAGGAAAAAAACAAACGGTAACCCCTTTTTGACAGGAAGGCCCTATTTCACTGCATCCTGAGCTAGACAAAAGTACACACTAAGCAGCTACAAAGCAAGAAGACAAGTGAAAGAAGAGACAATTAGAATTGTTGTGCCTTCTTTTCTATTGTTATTCTTCACTTTCCCAACCTCCTTATACAGGGAGACAAAGGAAAGGAAGGTCTAGCTGTTTATCTTTCCATATAGTCGATAAAAGAGATGAGTCCGAATTTCCCCTTGGTCACACACACCCCTCCTTATCTTAAGGAGGTTACCTGTTGGGTAAACAGTGAGGAAAATAATAAAACCCATGGTTCAAGACAAACAGAAGCAACACAAGCACAGCCTGCAGGACTGGACCCTGGAAGTCTAAATCCGGCTTCAGCATCATATCAGTAAACACACGAGTAGCCATGGGCAGTGATAAAATGACTTAAGAATAAAAAAAACACCTTACAATAACAGTAAAAAAACAGCTTACAAGGATATAAAATGTAAGGACAATTTTACCTTTACTCAACTCTATTATGATAGAAATGGGAATATCGCGTTCAGTTTTTTGCCCATTTTGTAAAGGATGTTAGAAACAGTAAGTGCATGACACGCACAGAGATTTGAAGGCTACGGGAAGTGCCTTACTGTGAGATTTTTTTTCAGCTCAGGCTATTTGTCCTACTTGATTACAACCTCTAAATACCTTTGCCAGGAAAAATGGCAATATTAAAGCGTTATTTAATCTGGTACGGAAGCTCACAAAATAAGCTATGACAAGAAACTGGAAAAATACAAATGGGAAATAAGACATTTTTATACTTTTTTTCAAATAGTTGGGGAAACCAACTCCTGAATTTATAAAAAGGTGGTGTAATCTCAAACTTTTCAGGCCTTCAAGAAGAGGCTTCATGGATTTCTTAAGTTATGCTCTGACAAACAAGTAACAAACTCAAAACACAATAACCACATGGAACTTTAACATTTCACAGTATACAGTAAAATAAATTACACAAGCCTAAGGTCTTAGACTTTTCTTTGTTACCTCCTATAACCCAACTACATTCATTTCAGACGTTTCATATGTCAAATACTGAGCAAAACAGGCCAAGGAAAATGGCTCAAATGAATACCATAAAAGCTCGTGGGATTACATGGCCTCCGGCAGTTACCCCTCTCCTCTAGATTTCCGTCTGTTAGTTGTCCATTTCTACTCACATTTTTGACAGAAGCTAAAAAAATAAACAATTTGTTTCTGAAGCTCAACACCAGCATCAAATCTGAAGTGTTTATTAGTCAGTCTGGTTGTTCAGTCCTATCAAATTATTTAACTCATGTTCTACTCATGTTCTACTCACTGAACTGATTTTTGGCTGATCACTCTGCTCTTGAGAAATAAACCTTTCCCCTCCAGTAATCTTAACACTTCAAATTCACATCCATCATACATTTTCCCAATGTAAGCATTTCAAAAGTCTTCAGAACTTGAAGGTCTGAATTTTGTGGCTCTCACTGTACACTATACATCAATACAAGCACTTCAGAAGCATGGCATTTGTCTGTGCAACAATTTATATATTATTAACAATATGGACATTTGCAGAACTGACCTCTTTCTCGGTATCCCTGGATATACAGGTCCACTGGTTTTCCTTCACACTGTATGCCCAGAAGTCAGCCAGATCCTGAGTTCCATCCCAGCCACCAAACAAATAGACAGTTTCTATTAAAAAAGGAAGAACACGTTAATTTTATTTTAAGAAGAGAATGCCTTTGAATAGGCCAATACCTACAAAACACCTGTGACAAATAGACAGACTATCAGAAGGGAAACTGAAACCAATTCTTACTTGAAGCACTGCTCTTCTTTGAATGGAACCAATCACCAGGACAAAGAAATGTGGTTTGGTTTAGTAATGGAAATTTTTAGTATTGATAGACAGCCAATTCTCAAGGAGTAATCTTCTATTTCTACATATACGTAAGAGGCAAACAAATCCACAGCCTTCTGATTAAAATTCAAGAAAGACAAATGAACAATATTTAGCATTTTGGATACTGTGCATTTCAGTCTATCAATGACATCTCAGCTGGTACCCCATTTGGTGCAAGATCTATAGATTAGAAAGACTTCTGAGATAGCAGCAACAAAGCTTTTCTCTTTAGTCCATCCCTTACAAAGGAAAATTTACTTCAACGATGAAATCCTCTTCAAGGGAAGCACCTTGCATAAACTAACTTACCTGATGCCACAAAAACAAGTCAGTAGAAGAGTTACAGATTTAAGTCAGTGTTTCAGGCCCATCTTTAGAGCCTATTACCTTAAACCCACAACCGCTCCGTGTGCAGCGAGTTCAAAGGCTTCTCAGACTTGCTGATAAAACTAGATGAAGCCTCTGAACATGGGAAGCATTTAAGGAGGAAGTCTCTGTTCTGACATGGAGAGATAACTAAGCTGCTCCCATTATAGAAACATCACTATCTGGTCCCAAATGCTAAAAATACTTCATTTTTAGACTACATTAAAACACAACACAAAGCCAAGTCCAAGAAGAACAAGCCACTGAAGGCTTGCAGAGCTTTGAAAAACTCCTTTAAAATCCACAAACCAGTTCTATTATGGAGGTAACGGCCAATTTTTAAGCCAACACCAATTAAAGAGCAGAGTTAGAAGTGCGATTATAAAATGGGAATAGTCCCTGACCCTTACCTACCATCAGGATAGTGGTCATCACCATGGAAAGGTTACCCTGGTTCATTAACTTTAATTACCCTTCCTCCTGGACTCAGGGCTCCCAGTGTTCCCTGCAAAGAGCAGGTCCCTTTGTGCGCATAAATTCTCACAGCTCACAAAACCCACATTACCACAACAGCTTCATTGATAGCCGAGAAAAATAAAAGATTTGGCACCAGCTAAGTATCCTATTGGGGCCCTGCCAAAACGTCATGCCTGCCTGTAAAGGCTTTGTTGTCTCAGATGAAATTTAATAGCAAACCTGAATGAATCTGATGAAAACTCAGATTTTGAAAGTTACCTAAACCGAGCTGACAGAATTAAATGGCATGTAAGCACTGAAAGAGGGGTACAATCATACAGCTAGTGCGAACTGTGAGCATCCCCAGAGTCCGAGAGCAACCGTGATAACACAAGTGTACATGAACAGTGTGCCAAACTTATTTTTCATCTTGATGTGAAACTGTAGCTCAGATGAAGGAAAGGCTCCATCACCACCTAGACTCAGAATGACTATCATTTTTTAGTCCTATGGCTTATTACAGAACTATTTACATATTTTTATAGCAGGTTTCTGTATTTTTAAAGGAACATTTCTTAATGCATAAATGCATCTGTTGATGGTAATGTCAAGAAAGTAATTTTTCATAGTTCTTCTAAAGTTTGCAACTGTTCTCCAATGGTAGAAGGAAAAATTAGTTGTTTGGGTTTTGGTTTTGTTTGTTTGTTTGTTTTTAAAGTCAAACTTCACTCTGTTCCCCACCCAGTATCACACCTTCTGCTCTACTTGTCAATTCAGATTTTGTGGGGAGAGTTATTTTTTCATCCTGTATGCAGAGATCCAACCAGGACAGACCCAGGATGCATGCCCAGCATTCCCAGGCATTGCCACCTAAACAACATATCAGCAAATACTCAAAGAAGAGGGCAGACACAGGGAAGAGACCACAAACTTCCAGGCAGCAGGAGTGGGGAGCTTGAGGGAAGCACAGCAGCCTCACATCAATATAACTATTTCTGCTTTAGTAGCAACTAGGGAACTCAACATGCAAGCAGGGCATCTTGCTCTGGCAGAGGGAAGGATTCTTCCTTTGTGTCTGAGCAATATGTAACACAGCAATATTGATGCTTCTTTATTAAAGCAAGCCTCTATTCTGCTTTAGGGACAAACCAGAAGAATTTTCAAACCTACATGCAAGGCAACAAGAAAAACATGAAAGCGGTTATATTTACCCAAAGCTTTTACCAGCTACATTTAGGAAGTCAAATTTCTCCTCTGGCATCTTAACCTTATCTCCTTGACATTTATTTTTCAATGCAAATTCAACACTTTGAATTAAATATGTTCTGTGAATATTTCTAAACTGCTTGCTCAGTGAAAAATGTTTCTATAATGTCTGAATTCTTTTCTTCCCTTACTCTCTGGAAGACTAGAAGGTGCCAGAGCACTCCTCAAATTACTAGAGAACGTACCTTCCCAAAAGTTAACATATTTCCTTTCAACCTCTCCTTAAGTTCTATTTTTCAAAAGAGTATGCAAAGCAGCCTTCTCCAATCCCTGTTAAATACCAAAAATCCTGGGGTAGTTTCAGTCTAGGTTCACATATGTTCTCTAAGTCAGCTTTTCTAACTTCTGTTAACCCCACTTTCTCTGTGTGGTGAAATCCTTGGTGGGATTCTGGTACAGTGTGTCTTCCTCACCCGATCAGGATGTTACGTGGCAAGCTGCTAAAGCCAGGCCAATAAAAGATGCGTGGTACGCCCGAGCGTTTCTGGTTTTACGTGCTAATATGCACAACAAATACATTCCAATCCTGGTGACATATTTAACTAAACACTTTGGTCAAATGGTATTTCCATGTCTCTGCTAGAACAGTTCTCCATAGAATATGCTCTAATTATGGACCTAAAACACCTCTGCAAGTCACCTGGTCTATCAGTTGTCTCCCCAATCTCTCATAGTAGGGCTAACTTCAGCGACAGACCAGGTTGCACAGGGAAGTATTCAGTTACACTTAGAATATCTCCAAACATGAAGATACTGTCTAGAACTGTCTGCTCCAACAACCGACCGTCTTCATTATGATTTTTTTTTTCCCAATATCTAACTGGAATTTCCCTTGCAGCAATGTGTCTGTTGCCCTTCATCCTATCCCTGTGCACCCCCCCAAAATGAGTCTGGCTCTATCTTCTCCATGCTCTCCCACCAGCTAGTTGAAGACAGCTCTAAGATCCTCCCATGAGCCTTTTCTTCTGCAAGCTGAACAAACCCAGCTCCCTAAGCATCTCCTCATACATTACATGCTCCAGCCCCCGACCACTTTGGTGGCCCTTCACTGGGCTCCCTTTCAGATTGTCACCAACCTTATTGTACCAGAGAGTCCAAACTGGGCACAGTGGCCTCACAAGTAACTAACAGAGGAACATCATCACTCTCCTTAACCTGCTGGCCGTACTTCTGCTACTAAAGCCTACCAGGAGGTTGGCCTTCATCGCCACAAGGACACATTGCTGATGCACATTCAGCTGTCTACCACCTTGCAAATCTTCTTTCCATGCAGTCAGTCACCAGCCTATACTATTGCACACAGCTGTTCAGGACTCTGCATTTGTCTTGGCTGAACCTCCCTGCAGACCATCAGGGTCCCTTTGACTTGCTAAAGCCCTATTCTCTACTTCATCAACCACTGCCCTCCCAATTTGCTACCAGCCCAAACTTGCTGAGGGTGTATTTGAGAATCGGTGTCCCTAGAACTAAAAAGGACTCGTCTCAGAAGTAAAAAATCCAGGCGTAAGACATCTCAAAAGCCTTCTACGAAAGGACGTCACTTCCCTATGTAGTAACCATAGAATTAGTTACCTGCAAGCAGCATTGTCCACTTTGTAAGGAGCACTTAGAGCACAAGTATAAAGCCAGACCTTAAATTGTCTTGAAGTATCACACCATTCAGTTTCTGAATCACAGTTCAGTGTAGATGGTGTCTGGATGTAAGTTTTTTCAGGCTAGGACTGGTCTGGGTAGGCATACAGTCTTCCTCTCAAATGTGAAAGCGCTATGAAGTTGAGTAACCTCCAGGATTCAGCAGCTGTTTGTGTTTCAGAGCTTAGAAGCCATCTGTGTTTTGTTTTAGAGATCTCTTCATCTCATACACAAGTCCTGCCTTTAAATATCTTACGGAGAGCAATGTTCTCCTCAGGCAAAACAGATCCTTCATGTCTGCTGCTCTCACTTCATCTTTTTCATCCTTCCATGCTGCTTTTGAACCAGCCTCAATTTCTACTGCGTTGCCCACTGCTCTGAATCTCCCACTGTTCCCAACCTACAGATTTGTTCTCACTTATCTAATAGAATGAAGTAAGCAGAATTCCTTCCTACGAAAGGAAAAGCAAAATAATATAAAACCAAAATTATAGAGTAGTTTCACTTCAGTGAGTAAACAGAGGTAACACATCAATAAAGACCATTTCACTAATATTTTCCTTCAAAAAATGTTTCACTTGCCAAAGAGAAGAGAAATGCAGACAAAAAAATCATCCTAGTTGCTTAGCTATTATTTCTAAAACAGGCTCGTCAGAAAACTTCAGAAGGCTTTATCTAAATGAATAAATCAACTTTTATCTAAATAAAAGATGAATATTTAAACAAACAGAATCACAAAAGATTCTCTTCTTTTAATTGAATTATTTCTATATAGTCTATAATTCTGTTACCAAAATAAATTATATGGCTTTATGGACTACATTGTCGTTCACATAAAATTATGTCTGCCCTGTAAGAGCAGAGATCAATTCTACCTTAACTATGGAATTATAAACCAAATCTCCAAAAATCTCCAAAACACAGTACACACATTCCTCTAAAGTACCGACATTATTCCTTAAAACTTGAATTTGGCAATCCACTTGCCCATTCCCACTTTCTTCCAGAATAAGCATTGCTATTTCAAAATGCATGCCGTATCTGAATTATAAAAAGGCCTGAGAGGGCATAATCAAAGTTACGTTAATCACGATAAGGTGCCTACATCCTCGTCCAAAACTGCATTAGGGCTTAATGCATCTGGGAACACAGTACTATATACAAGCCTGCATTTTACTGCTTGAATATTTCACCAGGGCCTACATAAATAGCAGTATAGCTTTTCATGACTGACATTCAGCACACTTAACACAGTACGTTTTTGTGTAGTTTTGGGGTTGTTTTCCATTTTGGTGTTTTGGGGATACTTTTGTTTTGATCTATGCACCTGGGTTGGGCAAATACTTTCCCTTCCTTGTAGAACAGAGCAGAAAACTCTCCAGCCTCCCATATGGAGAACTACTCAAGACATGCACCTTGTAGGAAAAAGCAGAAATAACATAAGCCTTCTGTTTTCATTTACACTCTAAAGCTTTAGAGTACGTAACAGTGGTTTCCAACTATAACTGGGAATGCCCCTTAGTAAATGTTTCTGCATATAAATACCAAAACCAACTTCCTAATTCTGCCATCCAGAGTCATTCCAGTCTGAGCATTAATATGATCAAAAGCATGGAAGACATTGTAAGGATCAGTAACTCCCCTTTTTTTTTATATAGGAAGATATCAGGCTGCATTCTCAGTTCTGTATCCCCAAATGCCTACACTTCCACTTCAAACTGCTTTTAAGAGTTTTTCAAAGCACAAAGAACACTACACTTATTCTAAGACAGTTGCAGAGGTATTAAGAGCATGAACATCAGATGGAAATGAGCTACAGCACAAGTTACTGGTTGCCAGCAGAGATGCCAGAATTGCTCTTTCAGTTACTTTCAGACTACCTTAATTGGAAGATAAAACATGCTAAAAGGCAGTTTAGACCAAGTTAAACTATATTCTACCTGAAACTTAGAGCATAAACAGTCTCAGTGACTCAATGCACTAACTTGAGATCTAGCTCAACTGCTTACCAACTACGTATCCTCTATCCTAACACTAACACATGTGCATCCAGCAGGCTCAGTACTATTACAAAACTTATTAAAAATAAACCTATATTTTTGTAGTCAGTAGTAACTGGTTAATATTTCCTTGAGGTTAGTCAAAAAGCAGAACCATTTATAGTTCAGTTATAGCTACAGCAGGTCTGGATATCAGAGATTAAAAGTTGGTTCCAACACCTATTCTATGTGATATGAAACTTCAGAACCTCCTTATATGTGTGATTCTGGTGTTTCACTTCATTTCTAAAAGATTAAGGTTGCAGAAAATACTCATTTTTGAAAAGGACCTCACCCCTCTAACAAGGAGTGCAAAGTGAGCTTGTTTTTCTTCAGTTGCCAAAGACTTCTGAAAAAAACAACTCAACAAGTGTGTGGGTAAGGAAGGGAGGATGTCTTTGAAGGAAGAGTATGCTGCTGCTCCTTTTTCCATTAACATTAGATTTGTTCAAGGTTAGCCAGGGAGCTTTACAGCTCCAGTCTGTAAAACACATCCTGACACAACTGGCTAAATTCCCACAGTCTCATTAAACACTACCTATATTCAAAAGGAAAACTCAAGCAATCAGCAACAGCTGGTTTTAAGAATAACAGCACCAAGAACTTCCCCTGGCTTGCTCATGAGCCAAATTAAATGGCAAAACTGATAATCTCAAAAACATTTAGCCTTTTACAAGCCTCAGTGGGCCTGGAAGCAAAACTAAGGGCAACTTCCCAAATACCCCACAGAGAAACTTTCTGAAGGTATCCCACCACCACTGGATAGAGCTGCAGGAAGAAAGGACTAGCGTGACAGAGGGAGGCCCAGTTCTCCCACATTGGGACTCTACCTCCACAGGTGTGCTCCCCGGTCAGTTTTGTGCAAGTAAAAAAAATCAGTGCTTTTTACTGCCTTGTTAAAGCAGAGTGAAAACTGAAGTCAAAGGCAGCGAAAATAAGTTTACTAGGACTTAAAAAAATAACAGGAATGCAAACGAAGACCCACATTACCATGAATATATTATTTTCTGGAGGTCTAAAGGACTATCATTTCCAAATTGACAAGCCTCATGTTTCTTCGGCATGCTTGTGAAACAGTCACTGTCTACTTATTCACCGAGGCCACTAGGGAGCGTTCACAGCTTCTTTTGTAGGCAAACACCAGCAATGCTCCAGCAGCATTTTATTCTAATGAATCTCAAAGCTCTCCGACCAAAAAAAAGTTTGCTTTCATATACAAAATAACTCGAGTGCTTCCTCTAGAGCCGTAACTACACTCTGAGTAAAAGCCAAAGACTGCAGCTACTGCTGCATTTTTGCTTGTTCACTATGACTTAGCAAATTACTCTTCAAGGTACTATCCTGTCACATGCTGCAGTCCCCGTCCATATGACCACAACAGATAGGGCCACGGTAATTTTTTGCCAACTCCCTCAATGCCACCCTATATTCCTCTCTGCTACTCACACCCCAATCTTGTTTCACCTTTCCTAAGAACAATCCTTTTACTCATATAAATCATTTACTTAGCAAAGATGCAGGCAGATGCATTCCTTAATTTATTAAGGAATGACACACCACAGAAATCTGATTAAATAAAAGCAAGACGAAGATACAGAAAATTATGGAGAACAATAATCACCGGAACTGTTACTTATACCCCCCCCCCCCTTTTTTTTTTTTTTCCACCCTTTTTTACAAA